CACACACACACACACACACACACACACACCTGCATACAGAGATAATATGGGGTCAGGAGATGGCTGGGAGGGCTGGAGTATGCATGCTGACCACAAGGTTTCTACCCCCCCAGCCCAGCGGTAGACCCCCAAGCAATGCTGGGTGTGGCCCCCAAACAAGACAAACAGAAACAACAGGTTAGTCTTCATTTCTCCTTTGCTCAGAACTCTGCTGGTTTCCTCCTTCCCACCTGGAGGAAAATGACCCAAAGGGACAGGATGACGGTGCTCCATGGCGCCTGCTCCTTCCGACTTCGTCCCAGTGTCCCTCTGCAGTGCAGCATCTTCTGGGGAAACTGAGTGGCAGCAGGCGAGGCTGGTACCCCGTGTTATTCCCCAGATCTCTGTCTGCTGCCTCTCTCTGGGCTGCAAGCAGCCAAATGTCTGGAAAGTTTTTTCTGGCACTCATGCCCAGTAGGCAGTAATGCTACCTGTCGGGGCCATGGTAGAAGCCCCTACGTCCCCCTTCTTGGGCAATAGTCACGTCACGGGATCATAGAGCCAGATAGGTCAGTGGAAAAGGGATTTGCCTTCACACAACCTGGGTTTTATTCAGGCACCACTTAGGGTTCACTCCCACCCACCCACCCCCAGTAATAAATACTTACAGATCATTAGTTGTTAAAAATTTCCAGAATTCTCTCCGGAGAAGCCCACGTTCTCTCTTGAACACACATCCTCTCTTTCTCTCCCCTCATATTTCTTTCTCTAAATTTCTTTCAATTAAATCTTTCTTGCTTCACAAAAATATAAAAGAAATAAAAAATATTCACAAAGTTTGTTTTTGTGCTCTGGGATGCCCTTGGGAGGGAGGATCCAGTCCCTGCCCTGCTGAAGTCTCGGCAGCTGCACCCACACCCCACAGCTGCTGCCACACCAACGGCCCAACGCCACTGCTTCTCCATTCCTCTCTGCAGAGATGCCAAATGGATGAAAATTCCAGCTGCACCAGTCTTCAGACAGGGACCTCTGGGGGCTTCTCGGAGCGGGGCTTGGCAACCTTCCCCCATACTTGCAGAAGCCTCGTCAGCCACACTCACATCCCATGACCATGGCCTGTCAACCATGGGCTCAGTTCTACAGATCCTACATTTTCTGGAGCATGCAGCCACATTCGGCCCTGTAACACCTCCAAATTCCACACTACTGTCATCCACAGAGGAGCACACTCCTTTTTTTTTTTTTTTTTTTTTTTGCTTTTTGGGTCACACCCAGCGATGCACAGGGGTTCCTCCTGGCTCTGCACTCAGGAATTACTCCTGGCGTTGCTCAAGGGACCATATGGGATGCTGGGAATCGAGCCCAGGTCAGCCATATGCAAGGCAAACGCCCTACCCACTGTACTATCACTCCAGCCCCGAGCACACCAAATTAGATGGGAAAGCAACACTGAAACCAGCCACATGCAAATAACAACTATACCACAGAAGGCTCACCAATAAACAGCTGATAAACCCTCAGAGAAGGACTGAGATGGCGAAATATAAAAAAGTTCACAACATTTCTTTCACTGTAGTATGTCTGTAGTATTCTTTGATAATTTCATTAGGTATTTAGTTGTAACAGGCAATATAAAATTATTCTGTGCCGCCTGCTAAGTGGGCAGGCTTGGGGGTGAATGGAAAAATGGGGACAGTGGTGGAGGGAAGGTGACAATGGTGATGGGATTAGTGTTGGAACACTGAATGCCTGTCACAACTGCATTATGAACAACTTTGTAAATCGTGGTGTTTAAATAAAGTAAATTAATAAATTTTGTTTTTGTTGCTTTGGGCCATCCCCAACAGCACTTAGAGATCCTCCTGGTTCTGTGCCCAGGGATCACTGCTGGAGGGCTTGGTGCTGGAGGTGGAGCCCTGCTCAGCTGCAGGCAAAGCAGGACACACCTGTATGGTCACTGAGAACCCCAAATATTTTTACAAAGTTCTGCAGAGCATGGAATCTGTCTGGAACAGAGTCAGGGAAGCTGCATTTTGACAAGCATGTACCCTGCTGAGTCCTGAGCCCTGAGCCCTGGGCATCTCTGATGGTTGGCTGACAGGCTGTTTTCAGTTCATTATTGACTCTGTTATGAACCAAAAGCCCTTTGAGGAGAGGCCCGTTCCTGGGTCTGCTCTGGAGCTGGCCCTTATAGCACAAGCCTGCAGTCCTTGGTTCAGTTCAGTGGGAAAAACAAGTGGTTATGGAAGGGGTGCACGTTCTCTGGCCTGCCACCTACTGGTGGCTCCTGGTGCCATCCTGGCATCACTCAGGTTCTGGCCTGCCCTTCCTTTCCGGAGTTCTGGGAAGCTGTGCGCAAGGATTGCTTTGCCATCTAGGCCCAGTGGTCAGCAGTTCTCTCCTCTTCGTCTCCTTCCTGTGGCTAGCCCACACACGATTCAGAACAGCCCCTGAGTCCGGGCACGCTCCAGGAGCGGCCAGGATCCCAGGGTCACGCAGGGGGATTTCTGGGGAGGGACAACCGGGCAGTCATCGCCTGCTCAAACTCGAGAAGGCCAGGTGGGCCAGATGGAGGTCAGGGCCACAGAAGCCCCGCAGGAGGCTGCCCCCATGCCCACACTCTTCTCCTGAGCCAGAGCGGGTGACTGCCAGGGAGAGACCTGGCGCTGCCATGCCCACGAAGCTCCAGTTTTAGTGGGACACATGGATAACTGATCAAGATGTGCGACATTCCTGGTAGCAGGAAGTGCTGAGTAATGGGTCAAGGGGAGAGAAAACGTTGAAGAGGGACTGGGGGGGTGGAGATGGGGGGCGTAGCTCAGCGGCAGGGCACTCACTCACATGTGTGATGCCCTGAGTTTAATCCCTGGCAGTGCAAGAAGGACAAGATTTAGGGAATGAAACATTTTGTCGCTTTCCTTTTTTTTTTTGCCACACCTGGCTGTGCTCAGGGTTTACTCCTGGTTCTGTGCTCAGAGATCACTCCTGGCTGTGGTTGGGGGATTATAAGCTTAGGATGCTGAGGATGAACCCAAGCTGGCCCCATGCAAGGCAAGTGCTCTGCCTGCTCTACTACCTGTCTCAAGGGAGTGAAACTTGACAGAGCAGCCAGGAAACATTCTGCAGTTTCAGAGAAGCCGCATTGAGGCGACTCTCAAGTCCCCATGGAAGAAAAGGGACTCTGGCGAGGAAGCGAGGGAACTAATGCTGTCACAACTGTCAACACCATTTCTGCAGTCACAGAGAAACGTTAATACTTCCTTTGCCAGTTGCTGTTAATTTTGGTTTTTTGACCCACATCCTGCAGTGCTCAGGGGTTACTCCCAGGGGTGCTGGGACAGAACCCAGACCGCCAGCACCCAGATCATACGCTCCAGCCCTTGGCACTGTCTCCAGCCCTGCCACTCACTGGCATCACAGTATCTGTGGCTTCCGAGGTTGCTGAATTACGGCTTCGGGGCTACTGGATGGAGAACTCTCTGGAAGACCATGATCACAGCCAGTCTGGAAGGCCAAAAGCCAGGCTGCAGATGTTTGGGGGTCTCACATGGTGTCAGTGCAAACACAACGGCTTCCCAAGCACCAAGGAGGCCGGTCAGGTCTAGCACAGCTTCGGGCTCCTGACAACCCTCACTATGAAGGGCACAGTGACAGTTCTCTGCAACAGCGAGAAAAGGGCAGCCACCACTCAAACAGGGCCTTGTGTGACTTAGTCTCGGGAGGATTCGCCCATCAAGCTGAGTTTCTTCCAAGACATTTATTTGGTTGTTGGGGGTGGGAAGGAGCTAACACCATCTGGAGATAATCAAGAACCAGAAATTCTGGCGGGTTCCCTGGCATAGCATAACGCCTGCGCAGGTGGGTGTGTAATGAACTCCTGCAGGTCCTCAAGCGTGACCTGCGGGGGTGTTTGGGCGACACTTGGAGGTGCTCAGGGCTTTACTCCTGGTGACGCTTGGGGGAATCCTGTGTGGTGCCAGGGACTGAACCCAGGTCGATCACCCTCTGTCAGTCAAGTGCCTTCCCCACTGTCCTCTGTCCAGGCCCCAAACACATGACTTTGATATTCAATGACTTTTCAGTGATTCCTTACAAAAGTCTGAACTCAGAGAAGGGGCCACTAAGGTAATGATAATTGGAAACGATCACTCTGAACAACTGAGAGCTGAAAGGAAATAAAGGGAGATAAAGGATAACCTTTCAGTACCTGTACTGCAAACCATAAGGCCCAAAAAAGGGGGCAGGGGAGAAGGAGGGAGAGAGAGAATAAGGGGGGGGGGAGAGAAGAAGGGACGAAGGGCGGGTGGAAGGGAGGGAGAGAGGAAAAGTACCTTAGAGAAAGGCTGGGGGGGGGGTAGCAGGGAAACTGGGGATATTGGTGGTGGGAAATATACACAGGTGAGGAGCCAGCGAGATAGTACAGTGGGTAGAGCATTTGCCTTACATGTGGCCGACCTAGATTCAATCCCCAACATCCCATATGGTGTGTCCCCCCCCCCTCCCCAGATTACTGCCAGGACTTAATTTCTGAGTGCAGAGCCAAAGCTAGGAGTAACCCCTAAACATTGCCAGGTGCCGCCCAAAAGAGAAAAAAAAGGAAAGGTGCACAGGTGAAGGGTTGGGTGTTGAAACATTGTATGACTGTGAAACACAATTATCAACAACTTTGTAACTGTGTATCTCATTGTAAAACCAAATCATCAACAACTTTGTAACTGTATCTCACTGTAATTCAGTAACAAAAAGTAGAAAGTAAAAAGCCTGTAATGAGTAGAAGTATTTCCTTCCTTTCTACAGAGCTCAGTTATTCCACTGTAGGGCCAAGAAAAAATAAAATATATGTCTTAGAGTTCAAGCTAATTGTAACTTGTTGCATTTTGACTACCATGGTCATACTATGTATTTATTATATAACATCTCACATAAATATGAATCCTCCATCATGGACATACAGGAGCCATGTTCCCGAGAGCTCCCTCACGCTGGACCCGTCCATATCCCCTAATTCCACGCTAGGGGAAGAAACAAAATGCAGGTCACGGGAGCACGACTGGGCCCCACGCCTCCTGTGCCCACTGGGCAGCTTCTCCGGGAGCGTCCGCAGGCAGGCTGGACTCAGCCACTTCCTCCTGGTCGAAGCAGCGCAGGATGTCTGCTCTGTGTGTGAGCTGCTGAGCCAGGGCGCCCTCTCCATCTCGACTGTCCCGCAGGCCGGCCCGCAGGAGGAAGTCCACACAGGCCCTGTGCTGCCCCGCACAGGCCAGGTGCAGGGCTGGGGGAAAAGAACAGGGACTCAGCTCTCCAGTGCTCCCGGGGACCATTCAATGCCTGCCTGCCTTCCACTCAGTAGTGAGCCCCAGGACTTGGCAAGGATGGGCCCAAACGCTTCCTTCGTGCTGGGCGGGATGCCCCGTTTTTTTTTTTTTTTTCTTTTTGGACTACACCCAGCAATGCTCAGGGTTACTCCTGGTTCTGTACTCGGGAATCACTCCTGGCGGTGCTTGGGGGACCATATGGGATGCCGGAGATCGAACCTGGGTCGGCCTCATGCAGGGCAAATGCTCTACCTGCTATACTATTGCTCTGGCCCCGGGACTCCTTGTTCTTGGAGGCTAGTTGGGAATCAGACAGTGGGGGCCAGTTGGGCCACCCTGGAGGTACGCAGGGACCACAGGGCTCTGTTAGTGGCACTGGGGATGGGTAGGGAGCACACGGGGTGGGAGGGGCAGCAAGCAGACAAGAGGCGGGCTCCAGGCCTCTGAACGGTCCATCCAGGTCTGGAGAGCCTCAGAGAGACATAAAGTCCGAGTCTGAAGAATCACCTCCGGAAAGACCTTTCAGGATCCCAAATCAAGGACAGTGCCACGGATAGAAAAATACACATCTTGGGGCGATGTTGACCTTTTTTGGGGTTGGGATGCATTGCAGCGCTCAGGGGACCACTTGGTGCCAGTGTAGAACTCAGGCATCTGGCGAGCAGCCCGGGCCCTGCCCTTCGAACTCTCTATTGGGCTGTGTGACACTTTTATATGTTTTGGGTCTTTCCAAGGAGCCTGGGGGACATCCCTGGCAGTACCAGAGGCACCATATGTGGTCCTGGGAATCGAACCAGAACAGGAATCAGCCACAAGCAAGGCAAGTGCCTCACCTCCTGCGCCAACTCTCCAGTCCCCATAATTACACGTTTTAAATACACTCCACAGAGACAATCTGCATGGCATCTGTGTAATGCCTGGTGGGTGTTGTTGTGTACAAAACAACAGAAGCCGCACCCAACTATGGGCATCACTGTTGCCTGGTAACAATTCCCCAGCTCTGCAAACAGGAGATAATATTTTAAGGAAATGGTGCTGAGCTACTAGAGGAATGTATTAAAATTGATGTCTTGGATATGTAGGTACGAGTGTTACTCATTTTCCGTTTACTAATAATTTTTCAGGTGGATCCAAAATGAAATGTACCTGATCTACTTCTTCCATCCTTGGAGTTGAGGTCGGCTCCCAGGGATAAGAGCGTCTGAACCGTGCTCACGTGGCCTTCCTGTGTGTTGAAATAAATGTTATCACTGTGACAACAAGGGTGAGCTCGTGATGTCGTCTCCCTCCTGACATACCCCACTACCACGCTTCACAGTGGAAGGACTCTTGACATCACTCTCAAGATTCCAGAGCAAATTAAGATGCTGGCGATGTAAGGACAATGGAACAGGTTGATTTTGTAGTCCAAATCGTCTACCCTAAGAAGCAGATCTCCCTCGGGGTCAGGGTATAACTGCACTCGTCAAGAAACACAATCCCAGAATCTCCCAAGCAGACTGTAGGCTCGACTAGGGAAGACAAGGAGGCAGGACTCAGAGAGACCCACGAGGTGAGAGCAAGTCCAGCAGCAGCCCCCAGGCCTGCCTCACAGATCATGCTCTGCTCTCACCAGAGAACCTCCTTCCTGCTGTGAGGAAAGCACACAATCAGGGCTGTGCGCAGCTGAGAAAACACTTGCCTGAGTTGAACGTGGGAGAGCCTGGGGTTGCCTTTCCCTCGCACAGAGAGAGAATCCTGAAACCTACCAGGAGGAGAGAGAGCCGGAAGCCATGCTGTGGCTCTCTCCAGCCTCAGCTGATATTCTAGAGGCGGGAGGGGCACAGCATCCAGGAGTTACACAGAACACAGCTTTCTTTTGTGGCCACACCCACTGGTACTTGTGATTGCACCCAGGGATCGAGCCTGGTGGTACCTGGGGGACCGCATGGGGTGCTGGGGATTGAGTCTAGGTTGGCCACGGGCAAGGCAAGCGCCCTACCCGGTGTACAATTTTTCCAGCCCCTAAAACTTTCCCCACCCCCCTCCATTTTTTACCCACAAATACAGTCGGGCTTCCAGTCCAGTGGGCACAAGGCCTCAGACTCACAAGAGATTCCACAGCAGGTCATGGGCACTCTCTTCCATAGCACGGAGCCCGCAGGACCTGGCTGACATCACGGGAAGACCTGTCTGAGGCCTGGCTCAGGGCAGGGGACAAACCTGGGCAGCACAGTGAAGTGCCGTGAGGTGTGTGGACACGGCTCGCACGTCCACGCCGATGCCCAGCTCAGAGACCACGAATCTGATGGCTTCGCTCTGGCCCGTGACAGCTGCCCTGTGGAGGGCCTGGGCCCCCTGGCAGTCTTCAGCAGAAGCACAAGCCTGAGGCACAGGGGAGAGATGGGAAGAGAACGGGAGCAGAGGCCCGGGCCTGCCACGGCAGCGCTGCTTGGTGCTCACATGCATTTTCCTTTTCTCTTTTTCATTCGCGGGGGGTGGTGGGGGTGTGTGTGCACACCCAACGGTGCTCAGGGGTTACTCCTGGCAGTGCTTCAGGAACCATACGGGATGCTGAGGATTGAACCCGGGTCGGCTGCAGGGCTGGCAAGTGCCTACCCACTATCCTATTGCTCCTGCCTTCACATGTGTTTTTCAGAGGTGATACAAAGCTTTTGTCAGACCTTTTTTTGGGGGGGTCACGGCCTAAAGTGCTCAGTTTACTCCTGGTGGGCTTGGAGGGCAATATGGGATGCCTAGATCAAATCCAGGTCAGCTATGTGCAAGACAAACGCCCCCCCCCCCCCCCCCCCCGCTGTCCTACTGCTCAGGCCTTTTGATTTTTAAGGGCCTCTCTAGTCAAAGCAAGGATAAATGCTCGCACTCCCCAAAACCACCACCCAGGAAAAAGTTTAATCCCAGCCTATCACCCCATTAAAAATTTTGGACCTTCTGTGACATCTCAAACTCTACAACACTGATATGCTAGGAGGAGCACATCAGATTGTTTGGGATGTAAATGCAGAAGGCAACCACCAACCTTGATTAACAAACTATCGACACAGAAGGCTTAACCAGTAACATATCTTTTTTTTGCTTTTTGAGTCACACCCAGAGATGCACAGGGGTTACTCCTGGCTCTGCACTCAGGAATTACCCCTGGCAGTGCTCAAGGGACCATATGGGATGCTGGGAATCGACCCCGGGTCGGCCGTGTGCAAGGCAAACGCCCTACCCGCTGTGCTATCGCTCCAGCCCCACAAGTATCTCTTAATGGCTCCAAGGTGAGATACAACAATCTTCACTAACTTTCTTCTACAGAAAAATCTTTTTGATCATTCTGTTGGCAAATTATTTATAACAAGCAAAATAAAAAAAATTGAGGGCCAGCTATGAGGGCAGGCTTAAGGGGTAGTTGGAAAAATTGGAGACAATGGTGGAGGTAAGTTTTATGGTGATGGCATAGGCGTTAGAATATTGAATGTTGGTAACAAATCATCCTGAACAACTTTGTAAACCACAGTGTTTATACAGAGTGTAAGAGGAAAATATATATTAAAAAAAAAAGGATCAGTGGTTGGCCAATGTTGCAAAAGCCACTTCCGGAGGCATCTGCTGTCCTTTGGGCGACAGGACAACTACTAGTCACTGAATATTACTTGGCCGATGGCTTCGTCTAAACTGCCGTTTCACCCTGACGGAAATCCCAATGGAGTTGAGTTTGCCTCCTTCTTTTGGATGGGAACATGGAAGCCGACAGAAAGGCCCTGGGCCCTGTGGAGGAACAGGGCAGAGCCAATCTCTCTGCTTCCTGCTTCCTGCCAACCCGTGGCCAGACCCGTTCTCTACCTTGTGCTCCTCAAGCAGCAGCCTGGCCACGCCAATATGTCCACACTGGACAGCGTCCATGAACGGGGTGAGGCCACAGCAGTCTCTGCAGTCGGGCTCGTACTGGCACCTGGAACCCAGCCCCCGAGACACAGAATGAGCCAGGAACACGGCGTCCTGGGCACTGCAGGGGTGACATGCCTACGAGGTCATGTGAGTGTGGAGAGCCCACCCCAGCCTCACCAGAACTCATCTGCTTGGCTTCCAACTTGCTGCTTCCCATCCGGGGCCCACCACCTCAGTGTGACAGCTGCAGTGTTGGTTTGGGTGTTCTGGGTGGTTCTGTGGCACAACCCTGGACTCGGCAGTTGAGGCAACCCCACGCTGGCACCCTGCCTATCCCAGACGCACACACGCAGCTGCTGCCGGCTCTCTCCGCCTCCCCTTTCCCACTCAGGACAAACTCATTAGCTTGGTTTCTGTCCTTTTGTTGTTTTATGTTTCAGTTTGGGGGTCATACCCAGCTGTGCTCCTGCTCTGAGCTCAGGTTTGGGAACCCTATGGGGCTGGTGGCATGCAAGGCAAGTGCCTTACCGGCTGAACTATCTCTCCAACCCCGACTTCTGTCCTTCTGGCACCTACTAAACTGGGGCATTCTTCACACCCTGCGGAGATCTTTCCCTAGTAGGCCTGGCTATGGTGGCTCCTGTTCAAAACCAGATCCAAAAGCCTCGGGGCCCACCAGAGGCCCAGAAAGCATGGCCCTGCACCCCAGGCTACATGGCTCCCACCTGGAAGGCAGCTACGTTCACCACGACAGCACCAACACCACCTGCTTCTGCTTCCTGCCTGCCTCTCCCTTCTGACTTCTCTGCTGCACCACCAGGATCCAGGAGCTGCAGCCCCCTCCCAGTGTCTCTGTCCCAAGTCAGTCTCTGCAAATCCTTGGACCCAGCTTCTCCGCCCTGTCACCTCTCCACTGCAGAAGCTTCCAGATGTTTCCAGTCACCACCTCTGACAATACATCCCAACACTGCCACCAGGAGCTCCGGAAAGGCCCATTTCTTAAGCCCTGCCTGCTGCTTAAAAGCCTCCAGGGGCAGCTGACAGGTAAAGCACAGAATGGAGGGTCCTTACTCCCAGAGCCCCCGCGTCCTCTCAGCCTCAGCTGACAGGCTCCCTCCGCCCAGGCAGCTAAGCAGAGATGGAACTCACCGTCGCTTGGCACTGTGCCTCCCCCCCATCTGAATGCTACTGTTTTCTAACGTCTTGAACCCCCTACAGGCCCACTTTCAGCCTCTGCACATCCAAGGACAGCTGTCACTGGGCCGTGATGCCTCACTCTCGGCCACCTGGTCGTCCTGTCATGACTCTGCAGGCCCCATCAGCCTGTCTCCCCTGCTTGTCCATGACACCACAGGGGGAATCAGGCTGAAGATCTCCTGCTTGCAGCTAGTGTGCATTCTGGCACTGAATTTATATTAGGCACCAACTAAAGATTTATCGAATGAGCAAATCAGTGACATTCTTGCACGTTTGTTAACTAGCATTGTTTTGTAGTCTTTGAGTTATCTGCTCATTCCCTTCTTTTTTTTTTTTTTTTTTTTTTTTGCTTTTTGGGTCACACCCGGCAATGCTCAGCGGTTCCTCCTGGCTCTGCACTCAGGAAATACTCCTGGCAGTGCTCAGGGGACCATATGGGATGCTGGGAATCAAACCCAGGTTGGCCGCGTGCAAGGCAAACGCCCTACCTGCTGAGCCATCGCTCCAGCCCCCATTTCCCTCATTTTTTAAAAATTTTTGCTTTTTGGGTGACACCTGGAAATGCATAGGGGTTACTCCTGGCTCTGCACTCAGGAATTATTCCTGGCGGTGCTCGGGGGACCATATGGGATGCTGGGAATCGAAATTGGGTCGGCCGCGTGCAAGGCAAATGCCCTACCCGCTGTGCTATTGCTCCAGCCCCCCATTTTCCTCATTTCTTTCAGTAGCTGGACATCTCTTAATGGGAGACCCACATTAACCATCATAACTGGCAAGAATTTTATTCACTTTGCTATTTTGTTCTTACCTCTGAAGAAGCAGCTTTACCGCCTCTAAACGGCCATGCATTGCTGCGAGAAGAGAAGTGAGAATTAGAGCTAGAATTAGAGCTTTGGACTGCATGCGTTTGCTTTTTCCTTTTTTTTCTTTTTGAGTCACACCTGGCAAACCACAGGGGTTACTCCTGGCTCATGCACTCAGAAATTACTCCTGGCAGTTCCTCAGGGGACCCTATTGGATGCTGGGAATCGAACCCAGGTTGGCTGTGTGCAAGGCAAACACCCTACCCATTGTGCTATTGCTTCAGCCCCCCCCCCCCTTTTTTTGCTCTTTGGGTCACACCTGGTGATGCACAGGGGTTACTCCTGGCTCTGCACTCAGGAGTTAATCCTGGCGGTGCTCAGGGGACCATATGGGATGCTGGGAATCGAACCGGGGCCGGATGCGTGCAAGGCAAACGCCCTACCCGCTGTGCTATCTCTCCAGCGCCCCCCCCCCCCCTTTTTTTAAGTGTTAATTTTAGTTGGCTTTTTGGGTCACGCCCGGCAATGCTCAGGGCTTACTCCTGGCTGTGCTCGGATGACCATATGAGATGCCGGGGATAAAACCCAGGTCGGTTATGTGCAAGGCAACGGCCTCCCCGCTGTACTACTGCTCTGGCCTGTGCTTGCTTTGTTTTGGATTTTAGGATGTACTCGCCGGTGACCAGGACTTACTCCTGGTTGGGGCCAGGGACCACATGAGATCAAAACAGGTGAGCTGCAACAAGGCAAGTGCACTACCCATTGTACTGTCCCTTTGGCCCCTTTTCAGTGCATGTTTAAAGGGCTTCTTTGGTCTCAACCCTATCCTCTCAACCACAGAGTACAGGAAGAATTAATTTAGGTCTACAGATGCAGCCCTAGGGAAGAGATATTTAGCTGGACAACTGGTAAGGAGTGGGTCACTGTTGGATATTGATTCTCAGCGTTTTAGGCATTATCAGTAAATTGCCCCTCCCCCAAGCTTACAGTGCTCTTTCGAGTATCCCTAATCCCTTGAGTTTATCTTTAACTTTATCTTTGTGCTTTACCTCTCATTGTTATATCCCCCAAGTCGGTCTTGGTTACTTATAAGCCAGAACTTCTGGCAATTCTAGACTTTGTATCTAGAGTAAAATACTTGCTTTTTTATTTCCCCTATAGCTTTTTCATATTTTACTATAGAGCAATATTCTTTGCTTAACCACAGAAAGACCATTAACGCTGTGCTCCTAATATTTGGGAGTTGGTTGACTCTGAAATGTATATACTCTTGAGCATCTGTCACAATTACTTAATACTCAGGCTCTGATTGCCGTAGTTCTAATACCCTGCAAAGGGAGGTCCCGCTGTGGAACTGGGATAGACTGGGGGTGAGCAGCAAAGCTATTCTGGCATTGAAATGGGACAGTCTAGAAAGCATAAAAGCATGGTCTTGATACAAGTCATTATGACTTAACAGACAGGACCGCATGGGGAAGGGCAAGGTGGACCAGCCTGAGGACTTATTCTGGGATTTAAGGTAAAATCCTTGCTTACCCTCAGAGCCCAGAGAACTAAGTTTTGGAACCTACATGTCTTATGGTGTTTACCCAAAAAACTGCAAGTATGACTAAGAAGTGAACTTAATTGTTTAATACGTACAACTAAAGGGAAAGAGAAAAGCAAGATGTCCCTGGGAGGCAGGGTGTCTCCTTGAGTTAAACCCCCTCCCCCCAAGGGAATTGCCTCCAACAAAACACACTCTGTAAATGATCAATCACACCTACGTGCAGTCCTGTACCTCGAACCCCCTCAGATGTTCTATAAGTATGCTGCATAAATGGGCCATTCTGACCATCTAGCTGTGAGTCCCCCATCTCTTTGTTCCTCTGCTGGAGAAGCCTGGGGAGGTGGTTGCATACCCACACTTACAACTCACAGGTCACAGCCAGCCCTTGATTGTCTTTATGTGCAATTTCACAGAAAACTCAGTTTTCATCTCCTCACTCTCCTGTTGCAAATCAGTAGGGCCAGTCATTTCTGTTGTTGTTGTTCTGTTTTGCTTTTGTGCCACACCTAACAGTGCCCAGGGCTTAACTCCTGGCTCTGCACTCAAGGGCTTGGGAACTGTATGTGGTGCCAGGGATTGAACCCAGGTTAGACATGTGCAAGGCAAGCGTCTTACCCTGCTAAACTATCGCTCCAGTTGGTTTTTGCTCAGGAAACGCAAAACATTTGAGCAGCAACCCAAAACAAACAGCCATGGATTCCATTCTCCCTCGAAAACAGCCCCTGCTCCAAGGAAAGACTCGATTGTGATCTTGCTGTTCCAGTAAAAGCTTGCTCCTGGCTGTTGGTGTGTGAGGAGCTGCTCGGACAGTGCCAGAGCCGCCCCCTGCTCACCCGTTGTATTCCACAGGACTCTATGGTCCCCAACTGCACTGAAGCCAGAGCACTGTGCACGTATTACCTGGGCCATACCTGGTTACAGGTGTTTTCTAGAGAGCCAATGAAAGCGTGGCACTGTCGGGCTGGAGCAGGGTTCAAGTTCTGGCATCCCGTGTGGTCCATGGTGCCCGGCCAGGAGTGACTCTGAGTGCAGAGCCAGGAGTAAGCCCTGAGCAGCGCTGGACGAGGCCCCAAAGCAACAATAACAACAACAAAAAAGTCCGGTACTCAATTCAACTTACTCTCAAAATGATTACAGAGGATTTTCCATCTTTCTTCACCTAGACCAATCTCCTTCATTTTCATTTTATCTTAGGTCATGGGACCTTTACTTTTTCCTAGCTTTAAATAATCTACAAAAAAGATAATTTGCAATTGATGAAAACTACTCCACACAAACTGAAGCTGTCCTTGACATTTACACCTGAGCCGATCCCAAAGACAAGTGAAGCGCACTTCAGCCCTCTCTCTACTTAAGACATGCTGTCTTAGACGCTGGGAGTGCTGAGGGCATCTGGGAATATCATCGTTTTCCTTCTGCTGCTAATGATCCCCATAAAAAGAAGAGAAGAGAGGGATCAACACAATGGCAGCAGTCAGGGACTCGGTGCTGCTCCACGTCAAGTGCTTGGGGGCTCAGAGTCCTGTGCCCACACCCCTCAGAAACCCCTGGGTCACAGGCACCTTTCCCATGGTTATTCTAGCTTGCCAGGGACTGAGCCCATCCTCCAGGCTTGCAGAGAATTAACTCCTGGCAGCAGCTTGGCGTGGAACTGGCCAGGGGAGGGAAAGGCCAGCAGAGATGAGCACCTGAGTGCCGGGGCCACCACCTCTGGAAACTGTCGGGCAAACCAGCGAAGGCCAGCTGTCTCCCAGACCCCCTCCCCATGGGATCGCCACTAGCCATACCCGCAGTGTGCAGCGGTGTCCTTTGAATCTTACTCTCCGTCTTCCAGGCGCTGGGGCAAACGTTGAGCAAGTACTGGAGGATCCGTGGGTCTCCCTCCCGGCTGGCGATGTGGAAACTGTTCCAGCCGTCCTTGTTCTTTAGCAGAGGGTCCGCGCCATTCTCCACAAGCTCCTGGATCACCTCGAGGTTCCTCTTGGCGCACGCCAGCATCAGAGGGGTCCTAAGTGCGAGTAGGACAAGCTGCAGAGGGAAGGGCTCGGCCTCTGGGCAAACGCGCAACTTCTGTAGAGGAAAGGCCTCAGGGTCTCTGGAATCTGGGGAGCGGGACGATCTGACTGGTCAGCTGTCCACCTGCCCGGCGCCCCTCAAGAGAAACAAGCAGAAGCAGGGTGAGGAAGGTGCTTGCCACTTGGAGGCAAAGCAGCCTCTGAACTCATGTCTAGCATGGCGGTGAACTGGGACAGAGGCCATCTAAGCCTCAGATTTGTCCTGAGTAACATTTTGCATAAAATCTGCTGGATTTGGGAGCCCGAGCAATAGTACATCAGGTACGACGCTTGCCTTATAAGCGGCCTACTCAGGTTCGATTCCCGGCATCCCATATGGTCCCCCAAGCACTGCCAGGAGTTAATTCCTGAGTGCAGAGCCAGGAGTAACCCCTGAGCATCACTGGGTGTGGCCCAAACACCCTTCTCCCCCACAAAAAAAAAAATCTGCTGGATTTGTCCCCTTGGCTTTGACCAGTAACCCTCTGTGAACTGAAACAAAGTATAAGAGGATTTCTGACATGGCCTGCAATCAGTTCAGTGGTGAAGTCAATGAAGCCTCGAGGCTACAGCCAGGTTCTTGGCTTGCTGGGTACTCAATTATTTATAAGAGCACAAATTCTTTCTGTTTTGGAGTCACACCTGGCGCTGCTCAGGGATCACTCTGGTGGAGCTCGAGGAACCATATAGGGCGCCAGGGTCACACCTAGTTCAGCTGCATGCAAGGAAATGCCCTCCCGGCTGTGCTACCAGTAAGACCCTATAGGAGCACAAGTTTCATCTGTCTCAAGGGGGGCAGCACTAGCATCGTGGAGGTGATCCTTGGGTGATCCACTTCATCCCCACTGGCTCCTGGTTTCTAAGAAACGAGGGGCTTACAGGACCTGAAGCACAAGAGCTGTGTGTGGTTCCTGGCTGGGCTGTGGGGATGGCCTTGGCGCCTGAGCCCCATGACACTTGCCAGGCAAATGTTGCGTAGGATTTGTCTTGAAACATCATTCACATTATAGCACGCGCACGTGTGTGTGTGTGTGTGTGTGTGTGTGTGTGTGTGTGAATTTTTGGTAATGCAGCAGTGACAGTGGGAGAGAAACTGGGGGAGAAACCTTGGGTGAATGAGGTCTAGACTCTTCCGGAAGGGCTTCAAAAGGAAATGAATCTTGAGCCAGGCCTTTTGATTGGAAAAGAAGGGAAGAAGACAGAAGGCATTCTTGAAGTCACAAAAGTGTGAATGAGCAACAATGTTGGAGACACAACCTCCCAGAAACATAATCTAACTATGGGTCGGTTATTGCCTTGTTTGGGGGACACACCTGGCTGTACCTGGGGCTTACTACAGGCTCTGAACTCTGGGGACCATCTCCAGCGCCCAGTGTAAACTCGCTCCCAAATCCTCTTTCTCACGGCCCTCAAACATCATGGCGTGGCTGCTTCCTATCCAGCAGTTGCTTTTCACAGGTTGCTTTTCACAGGTCTCCGAGATGGCCTCAGTGCAACTATCTTTATTTCCTGGGGGGCCGACACCCAGTAGTTCTGGGGCTACAGGCTCAGTGCAGGACCACTGAGCTGCCTCTGGAAACCAATGCTTTGCTTCCGCTGTGGATCAGCCTTTGCAGGAGAAGCGAGCTCCGTGGGGAGGAGAGTTCTCATGCCCAAGCCCTGCACCTCCCGGTCGCTGGGTCGCGGCCCGGCCCCCCCACCCCGCCCCTGCCGCCCACCTACCAGTCGGCCCTCTTCAGGCTGTCCACGGCGGCGCCCCGGGCCAGCAGGTAGCGCACGCAGTCCCGGTGGCCCGCGGCGGCAGCCTCGTGCAGGGGCCGCTTGGAATCGCGGTCGGCGGCCTCGATGTCCAGCCCGGCGTCCTCGGCCAGGAAGGCCAGCACGTGCAGGCGGCCGTGGCGGGCGGCGCAGTGCAGCAGGAGCGGGGCCGTCGGGGCCATGGCCACGCCCCGCAGCGCCTCCCGCAGGGCGTCCAGCCGGCCCTGCTGCACCAGGCGGCACAGGCGGCGCGCGTCCGCGGGCGCTGCCATGGTCCCGGACGGCGGACACGGCGGCCGGCCGGGTGGGCGGGGTCGGGAGAGGCGCCCGGGAGGGGCGGGAGCTGAGAAGGGGCGGGATTGGGGCGCTCCGAGGCACTCTGGGAAAGTTTCCACCCGCCGGCCCGGCCCGAGCGGAAGCTCCGGCGGGGCGGGGCTCGCGGCGGGCGACCGCGCCCCCTCCCGCTGCGCTTGCCTATTGGCGCTTCGAGCCGTCGGTCAGCGCGCCCCCTCTCTCGCTCGCTCCGATTGGGCGCGCGCGCGGTCGCTCGGAGGCGGGGGCGGGGCTCGGCGGCACCGGCGGCGGAAGTCGGCGGGCTGCGCGGCGCGCCGGCCTGGGGACGCCGGGACCGGGAGGCCGGGCGGCGGGGCCGGCGGCGGGAGCCGGGCCCGGGGCGCCGCAGTGCGTGAGGCCGCGGGCGGGCGAGCGGGCGGGGCCGGGCGGGGCGGGGTTGGGCGGCCAGAGCGCGGGCGGGGGGCTCGGGCGGCCGAGGCGCGGGGGCCGGCGGGGGCGGCGGGTGCGGCCCCGAGTCGTGCTCCGCGGCCGGGCTTTGACCTTGGCGAATCCCGGCCTCGGGTCCTGCGGCCCCGCCGCGCGGCCGAGCATCGCCCAGGGGGCCCGCAGGTGCCCGCTGCCCGGCCTGGACGCCGCCCCGCAGCCCCCGGGTGCGGAGCGCCCGCCCGCGGTGCGCCGTCGGGGGAGCCCGCGCTCGCTGCACCGGGGCTGGGCTGGCGCGGGGCCGGGCTCGGGGCCGTCGGAAGGCAGGGGTGCCTGGGGCTCCGACCGGCCCGAGGCCTGAGCGCGCGCCAGGGTTGCTTCTCCCGTGCCGTCGGGCCGTGCGAGAAGCCCAGGCCTCGCCTAGCCTCCCCCCTCCTGCTTCTCTGTGGGCTCAGGGCTCGCTCCTGGGGGTGCCCGGGGTGTGGTGCTGGAGATCCAAACGGGGCTTGGTCATGCAAGGCAACTCGGGTCCCTATCTCCAGTCACGGGGCAAGTGCCTTATGCCTTGTGCTATCTCTCTGGCCCTCAGTTCCCGCGCTTTAAAAAAAAAAAAAGCACAAAAACCGAAGACTTGGGGGTCAGAGTGATAGTACAACGGGAGGTCGTTTGCTTTGCATGCGGCCAACCTGGTACTATCCTGGGCATCTTCTATGGCCCTCCGAGATCTGCCAGGAGTTATTCCTGAATGCAGCTCCTGAGCAACAATGGGTGTCGCCCAACACCCCCCCCCCCCCAGAAAAACAAAACAAAATTGGCACCCGTGGATGCTGCAAAGGATCGAGTGTTTGGTGATTGGTTGCCAGCCTGGCAGACCCAGGGAGCTCTTGGTGACCTGCCTGCCTTGGGAACTTTGTTCCGTGATCCCCTCTTTGGACAGCTGGGTGTTTGTGGATTTGGCCACAGCTCCTATGTTGGTTGAGGGCCCACTTGCGTCTCAGTGAGCAGCCATATGGATAGTTCAGGTGGGGTCACAATGAAGGGCAGTTATTTCCTGGGTTTCTCCAGGCTGATTTCCTGGCCAGCACTTGTAGCCTGACTGAATTGACATTTTACAAGTAGCCTACAAATGTCAACCCTTAGAGTTGCTACCTGGCTCTCTGTCTCCTGTCTGTGGTTGTGGACATTGAGGTCAACGTCACCTGCTGTGTTTTGTCACCTGTGAGCGTGGGAGCGCTGCAGAGGGCCTGGAAGAACTTGGAAGACCTCGTTGGCTCTTACGCATTTCTCTTCATGTCCAGCTGCCTTTTCTGGACTTTCAAAACTGGCTTTCAGTCGATTCTGTGAGAGCACCTGCTCCCCGGAGTCTAACCCCTGCCAGGGTATCCGAACCCTTCTATCACCCGCCCAGACTTGCGCCTTTTGAGGACCTGGGATCAGACAGCTTCGGGGAGCCCACCCTGGGATTCCGAAGAAGAGAGTAAAACAAAACAGCAGCACCTTCTTCAGAGCCTCTCACCGACCTGTCTTTGTGGAAGAGGCGATGAGAACATGGCCACAATCTTCTCTCTCCGTGGCCTTGTGCTGATGCTGTTGTACGAGTTCTAGTTGGGAATACCTATTATCCTTTCTTTGTTTCGCATTTCTCTTCCCATCTTGACCCAAAATATCTTGGTCTTGTTTTTGTGGTGCGGGACGGAAGTCAGGGCCTCACACGTGCAAAACAGGCGCTCTGCTGTTGAGCCGCACGCCTGGCCGGCAAGGCCTTATTGCCTCTCCACTGCAACCTTCCCCTCACCAGCCCTGGCTGGGGTGAATAGCGATTTTCTGTGGCTTCTGCCCGCTTGGCGTCTGCACCCTTACTTGTGACCACGGCTGATCCTCAAGCCTCTGAATCCAAGGGTTCCCCATGTTGCCTGACTTTACTCGGGTTTCCTTACCCCAGCATACCTCCAACTTCCTCTCCCAATTCCTGGGTATCCCCCCTTACACCGTCACGTCACCCTGGGGTGCCACTTTCCTGCCTGGCACATTTCATGCCGTTCGCATCACTGCGGAGTCTGAGTGCTCCTGTGGCCATCTTCACCTGGCCACCTGCTGCCCGCCCTTGCTCACCAGCACCCTTGGCGCAGCGTGCTTACGGGCCCTGGTCGCCTCCTTGCAGATGGGGAAGTGTGTCTGTGGGCTAGCGAGGTCTGAACTGTGCCTCCCATAGCATGTGACACCCCAGGTACCAAGAGAGGGTGAAGTGGACACTTACTCGTGGGTGTTGGATGCACTGACAATGAGGGAGCCTTGGTAGAAAGAAGAGGCTTTAGGGACTAAGTAACCAGTGGTTTCCTTTCTTTCCTTGGCTCTGCGTGAGGAACGTCTGTGCCATGTCCAAACTTGTCTGGAAAACCTACCCCTGCTGTCTGGGAGAGGAGGGAGGACAGTAGTGTGGGACTCGGAGACCCCTGTGGCCTGGACTACAGGGACAAGCCGCGGGAGGGAGCGCATCCATGCTGGCTTCTCCCGGCTCCGTGGAGAACGTGTCTTGTCGCAGTTACTCCTTTTAGAGTCGGCGCGCCAGTCATTCCCTTGCAGTTAGAGTTTCTTATAGTTGCAAGTTCTTTGGGCTTGGGTTATGCCAGGAGAAGCAGGCTAGGGATTGCCATAGCAGAGCCCTGATCCCAGGAAGTTGGCAGCTCAGGCTCATCACCCACCTGATGTTATGACCTCAGGCCACTCCTTGTCTGCACTGGCGGGTCTTACATCAGAGGGGAGTGAGCGAAGAAATACCCGGACATGTGAGGGCCTTGCCACCAAGGCGTGTTTCCCATCAGACTGTACTGGGAGAGGCTGTCCTGCAGGAAGGATAGACACAGGCTGCTGGGGTGCTGCGGGACTTGGCATTGGCTTTCTGCGCTTGGGAAGGGGTGCTGAGAAGCGGCGAGCGGGCGTGAGTCTGGCCTGGAAGAGATACTCGCGCTGGCTGCATTTCTGTCACAGCCATGACCGCTTGCTGTGGGACAAGCTCCCACATATCCCACATACTGTTTCACTTTTGGAGATGTGTGCTCAGTGTTTTCCAGTAGCCAAGGGGAGAAACTGAAGCCACGCTGTGATTAAAACCGAGTGGAGCCTTCTGCTTGGCCTTTCACAAATGCTTGACTCTCGGTTATTTGCTAAGTGTTGTCTGAGCATTTGAGGGACAGTGATAGCAGTTGCAGAGTCTGTAGTCTGGTGGCCAGAGTTAGGGGGTGAGAAAAAGCATGGTTCAGGGGAGACTGATTGAGAAGCAGGTTGGGGCACAGAAGTCGAGCAGGGTAGATCAGGATGAAGAGGTGCCGTGCAAAGGACCAGGTGCCACGGAACCTCACCCCTGAAAGCAGACAGCAGACCAGGAGCCCAAGGAGCCAGTCCAGTGGGGCCCCAGAGCTGGGGGTCAGAGAGGTCGGGACAGGGAGGGCAGTGCCAGGTAGGGATGAGAAGTATCCTGAGTGACCAGATGCTCTTCATTCTGCTGGTCCGGTGCTAACACTGAGGGAGTGGAGCCTCCCTGTGGTGGGCTCTGTGGGAGGATTGCTGGGAAGGCAGTGCGGGGAGCCGCTGTGTAGCCTGTGGAACTTGCGGCCCTCTGGCCCACTGGCCGGGCTTGCCTCTGTCCTCCTGCAGTCCTCTGGACACCTTGGCTTAGCGGCTCGTGAAGGAAGAGTCTTCTCTGATCAGGAGAGCTATAGTTGAACACCTTCAAGATCAGTCTTCAGAAGGAGCCAAAGGGTGGTCTTATCAGTACTTTAGTAGTTTTACTGTGTAAAGACCATGAATGCAATGATGGAATTGAGCTTGCCACCTTTCACAGGCCCTGGGGGGCATGGTCGGCGTGTAGTTCCCGTGGTGTCCAGCTGAAGGCCCTGGTGGCCCGCACTGGCCTCTCTGTTTTCCTGATGGTGAGTCACAGCTGCTGAGGGCAGGTGGGCCTTTGAGCCCATCTGAGTCCCAGCACAGCCATTTCCAAGTCAGAGGACTCTGTCCCAGACAGAGACCACGTCTTGCTCCAGCTCCAGATAGTGACCCCAAGGAAGGGGAATAGCCCTGCTCTCTGTGACCTCTCCTGTATGACCCTAGCGGAGGACGTGACTTGCCCCCAATCGTGGTGCTGGGGACAGCCCAGATGCAGAGTGGCAGCTGTCTTAGTTCCTGGCAGCCCTAGGCCCGGTCTGTGTGCTCTACCTCAACTCTTACTTGTAGTCCTGAAACACACTGGAATCTTCCAGAACTCTCCCGAAGACAGAAATGAACTATCCGGTAGCAGAATGAACATACCTCCAGATAGCCATTTCTTTTGTCCCCATCCCTTTGTTAGATTTCTGCAAGCATTTCCTTGACTAAATGAGCATTTAAGATTCAGATATATTTCACTGCTGGGGTAAGAGCCAGGGGGCCCAAGCGTTTGCATGAGGCCTGCACGGACCCCGTCCCCATGGGCTTCCCTGGACAGCGAGTCAGGCATGGCCCTCCAAAAGCAAAAGATTCAGCTGTTTTTCACAAAAGTCAGCTCCTGTCCAGTTTGTCCAGTTGCTGCTTTCCCTGGGCATGGCCAGTGTTATGT